ATTCTAACCTTTATTGCAACATTTCAAACCTGTATTTTTAAGCACAAACAGCACATGATTGTGAATATGGCTTCAGTAGTAGTAATAATGAATTATCTGAATAAATATGGCAATACTAAAAAAATATTGTGGTTCTGATTTACCACCTCAGGGCTTGGCTGAGTAAGTCTGTTGATGTGCTTTAACTGATACACACTAAGGATTGGTTTCTTGCTGCTGGTCTGATTGCCATCCATGAAATAATCCTGAGGCTCAGCTGCTTCTCTCAAGATTCTTTTTTATGTGCAGAATAGGCTGCAAGAAGGCAGCTGAGAGACATGATTGACTGAATCACCCACCAGAGACTTGTATTTTTTCTCCAGGAGCCTGAAAACCACCGCCCTGCTGTAGTAGCCATGCTGAGAAAGGACAGGAGAATGAAAGTTGAATCTATATGCAACAAACACGTCTAAATCATGTGTTCAGAGGGCATACGCACCATCCATTTATTAAACCAGGTAGCTTTAATATCGAGTAAGGACAGCAAGTGGACCGGTTCCAGTGTTCTCTCTGCTCCATTGGAGCCACATTCATGATAGATGGACAGAAGGGAGAATGTGCTCTCTATAATCTCCTCCATATATCTGAAGAAAGACGCATATAAAAAAAAGAAAGTTGGTATATAATTAAAAAGTAAAATCCAGTCCCACAGAGAGAAGAACTCACTTCTCTGGGTGACGGATCCAGAAGGTCGTCACATCTTTCTGAAAGTCATTCATGAGTCGAACCTGAGACAGAAGAACAGAAAATAAAGCATCAGACAAAAGTTTCTGTTAGGTAGTAGATGTAGGAGATGGTTAGCACCTGTTTGAGGAGACGACTGATCTGAGGAGTGTTAATGTCGACCGTAGCTGATCCAGTAGGGAAGCTTAACTCCTGAGACCGAAAGCCTGATTCTACACTCTTTGCTGCTCAGAAACAAAAAAAATATATAATTAAAAACAGTGTGAGTTTATATATATCCTACAGTAAAAACACATATCCAGCTGTACCTACATACATATGTACTATTTAGTAAAAATAATTAAGAGTCAACAAAACTATTTACCTAAAACACTAAGTAATTAACCTGTGGGGACGAGAACAACTACACACTGGAAAAATTTGAAATCTAGATAGGTAATTTTTTCTTAAAATAAGTGCATTTGTTCTTGGATTGAGGACGTAAAAGAGACATTTTGCCAATGGAACAAAACGATTTACACTTAAAATAAGAAAACACAATTGCATTGTCTTATTTCATGTGCATATTATCTAATTATCTTATTTTAAGAGTAAAAATACTAATTCCATTGGCATATCATCTCAGTTACCTTGCCAAATTAAGGGTAAATACACTTAATTTAAGACATTTTTACTTATTTCTAGACCGTTTTTCCAGTGCATGCAGATTTTTTCTTGAAACCCTCATACATCTAAGCTTAATTTGATATATTTGGGTTAACTTGTTAGAATAAAACTTAATATGCTGCAAAATAAACTTTCACAACACGGAAGGACTCAGAAGAGCGGCCTACCGAAGCTGGTGTAGATTTCTCGCGTCACGTTCAGCGGAGATGAGGAGAAGCTTTTAGCTAAGAAACGCAGCACATTCTCCTAAAGGGAGTGAAATAAAAGAGAACATTTAGAAACAAAAATAAAGAAACTTCAGCGCCCTGTAAAAGTACAACCATCCGTACAACAGTGATTCACTTAACACCACAAACCACCAGATATCTTATTTTGTAAAATGATAATCCAAGACAAAGTTTTTTTTGTAAACAAATGGCTAATTGTATGTTTGGAGTGGTTGCACAGTTGGAGGGTNCTAGACCGTTTTTCCAGTGCATGCAGATTTTTTCTTGAAACCCTCATACATCTAAGCTTAATTTGATATATTTGGGTTAACTTGTTAGAATAAAACTTAATATGCTGCAAAATAAACTTTCACAACACGGAAGGACTCAGAAGAGCGGCCTACCGAAGCTGGTGTAGATTTCTCGCGTCACGTTCAGCGGAGATGAGGAGAAGCTTTTAGCTAAGAAACGCAGCACATTCTCCTAAAGGGAGTGAAATAAAAGAGAACATTTAGAAACAAAAATAAAGAAACTTCAGCGCCCTGTAAAAGTACAACCATCCGTACAACAGTGATTCACTTAACACCACAAACCACCAGATATCTTATTTTGTAAAATGATAATCCAAGACAAAGTTTTTTTTGTAAACAAATGGCTAATTGTATGTTTGGAGTGGTTGCACAGTTGGAGGGTAAAGCTCTGCCCCAGTTCCTTGTTTTCTGCAGCCTCAGACATGTTTTCTTCTAAGAGGATCTTCTCTGGAACGTTTTGTCATTAAAAAACACTTTTTACAGTATGTGGCTCTTTCATAAATGTATTAACCAAACCAGTCTTTTATCTTCAAGCTAGTAACTAATAACCTATATATTTCTAAATGGCGCTTACTTTAAATGTTGAAAGATCTTTTTCAGTTGGGTTATCGACAAGTTTCCATATAAAAGCTCTGTTTAGTGTGGCTAGTATTTATTATAAACTTGAATGCACTTAATCTATCCCATTTGGTTGATTTATTTTTGTTAGAACGCAAATAAAATATGTTTATATATTTTATATGTTTATTCTTATATAAAATATGCTAAAAATATTGACCCAAACATAAAATACAGCGAAAGGTAAACTTTATATGACTTTTCCACTTTTCTATAAAGTCCAGGTTGATAGAGACCATGATAACTACAGTGGTTTTAACAGACTCTACCTTTTGAGCTGTGGAGCTTTTCCAGATTCACTACCTCTTTGCAAATTTTCTGATTCATCATATATTTTGTTCTTTTTTATTTCAGATAATGCACTGGTTGCTCAAACATTTCCACAGCCTTCTAGTTCACCTGTCTTCATGATACGGTTTGTTCCATCAGAGTAAAAAAGGCTGAATGCAAATGTACACCACACATTTCAGATTTTTAATTGGTGAAAGGTTTTTTAAACAGTTCATTATTTTCCTTCTGCTTCCAATCTAGCTCCTCCTTTTTTGATTGATCCAGCACAGGACTATGAATATTTGCACTTTAACCTGAAAATAAAATTACACTGCAAAAAAAAAGAAATCTAAAAGTAATTTTATTCTTAAGATAAGTGCTTTTTTCCCATTGTATTGAGGAGGTAAGTGCGACACCTGGCCAATGGAACAAGACAATTTAAATTTAAAATAAGATAAAACAATTAAATTGTCTTATTTCAAGTGCATATTATTTAATTATCTGATTTTAAGAGTAAAAATACTCATTCCATTGGCAAATAACCGTATTAATTGCTCAAATTACGGCTAAATACACTTAATTTAAGAGATTTTTACTCATTTCTAGATTGTTTTTGCAGTATTACTTAGAGTTTGTTGCATAAAGATGTTTATTAGTAATATGCGATATCAGAAAGCATTCTCTTGTGATTTAGTACTGAAAAGATGCAATATTAATAAGACATGGACGGTTAGGGCAACAAGTAGATGAGGACTCACGCTGAGGTCAGGTTCAGTCAGAGCTGCACAGAGGTTCGCTTGCAGAGTGTTCCAGCTCTCACAGCTCAGAACGTCAGAAAGAGGAGCGCCGCAGAGAGCTTGCAGAGCCTCACGCCGCACCTAAACACACATTTACAACAATTACCCAAAACCTGATCAGACTGTCCAAAGCACTGCAGCCTGCCTGCTGACCAATTAAAAGAGAACCACGCATATTACTACGATAATGTCCTCCCTGCACCGGCTGCCTGTACCTTTAATATTAACTTCTAAATTGTGATGAACATTTCTTGTTCCTCTGATTCATTACATGAGCTTTATTGCGACTTAATTGTTGGGCTGATCTTCCATCTTAGGGTCATTACCTAAAATGATTAAAAATCTATTTAAAAACTCACCATTCTAATTGAACAGGCAAATCAAGCTGCTCTTATAAATATTTTCTTAAATTATTGTTTCATTTTGTTTAATATTTGTATCATTAATACTGTAATTAAAAGCTTTTCTTATTCCATTTTTTCTATTCTTGTATTCACTCTGATCATTTAAGGTGAGTAAAGCGCTCTATAAACAAAGATTGATTGATCCAATGCTGTTAACTGTGTGGCTATTGATCCCACTAAACAAAGGCAATTCCCTCTGAAGGGCTAAGACATAAACTCAATTAGCTGTGTAAATCCAGTTGGTTTATAATTCCTAATAACCTTATTAAACCTTAGATTTACCCACCGAAAAAAAAAATCTATTTAGTTTACAAGCCTGGTCTTTAAAGAATGGTGCTTAGGGAGAAGAAGAGGCAGTATTACGTTCACATTTTTTTTCCCGGTACCTCTTTGGGCTTGCTGGGGTCAAGTTTTTCCGCCAGCGCCTGCAGCTGCTCCTGTCTGATGAAAGCATAACTCTGGAATCAAACAGGGAAAAGAAACATAAAGCAATAATTATCATATGAACACGTTTAGTTATTGATTGTTGGGGGGAAAAACACTCAGCATTAAATAGTTGCATTTAAACAACTATCTAAGACTATTTTAGGGCATCCTTTTTAAATATTGGCTTCATGTCTTTATAAATATTAAACAAAAAAAAAAATAGAGAAGAAAACTGAAATCTAAAATACATTTCTTTACTTCTCTTATTTACTGCATTTCCTTTAGATAGCTGCATTTCTGACCTGGTTGAAGGAGGAGTCGCTGTCTGAGCAGTTATCGGCGTACTGGCTGCTGGACTGACACCGCTCCATCGCTCTGTTCATCTCCTCCTTTCTCAGCTGGTCTTCCTCAAACTTGTTGATTAGAGACTCCACAACCACCATCATGGTGTTTTTTAATGTCTGTATCATCAGACGGTACCTGTTACAGACATGGGAAGTTGTTTTACCGACATACCCAGCATTAAGCAGTTGTAATCATTATGTTTTATTATTCAAGGGATTTAGCTAAAAAAAAATTACAAATTTCTAATTTCTCAGGATATTTCTAATGCATGGCAACAAAGCCTGCTCTGAAAACATACAGTGTAACTGGGTGTGTAGAAACTATGCCTATAGAGAGGGTAGTATATGAATGAGAGTGAGAACAGCATAAAAAATATTAGGCAATATGTTTATCCTGAAATGTTTTTGTCACATTTTAAGTACAACACAAAACGTTGGAAATTTAAATATGGCTTTTGGATTTAATAGGAATTTTTAGGCTGTAAGGAAGGACAGATGGATGGACAAACTGAGGGAGTAACTGGCAGTCAGACGTTTGAACTGATGTTGATCTGATTGACAGATCTAGAGACATACTGTAACGACAGAGTGATGGATGACAAGGCAGGCGAATGTTTAAAAACAGATTTCAGTGACTTAACATGTAATTGTGTGAAATTATAAACTTAAGACTTCTCATTTATGTTATGTGATTTTTTTATACACAAGTCGGGAAATATAAAAATGAGCTTTTATAGACCTAGACTCTTTATTTATCCCTTGGGTTTACTTGTTTAGGGAGATTCTGGTTCCAGTAGCTTATATCGAGTACAATGGGCAGAGTTAAAGCAAGATGCCATTAAAGATAAAAATACAACATACAATATAAAAAAGTGTATATAGTACTAAAGAGCATAAAAGAAAAAGATGTAACTCTTCTTCTCTTTGGATATAAAAATATCTGCACCGTAGAGAGCTAAGGACAGACTACACAGTAGTTGACTTGGATTATTGCACTCGCACTGCAGAGATGAACTGACCTTATAAATAAGTAAATAATTACACAGACTACACAGTAGTTGGCAAATTTTTTACTTATTTATAAGGTTAGTTTTATGATTCAAAATATTTTGCTGAGCATATAAGCACATAAAACACTTTAAAAAGATACTGATCAGATGTGAACTGTAATTTCCCAGTGCTTTAGAGGTTTAAATAAAAATGCTCATTAGTCTGGGAGCAGAGGAGCATAAAACTCGTGTCAATTGTCAGACGGGACTCCATCATTCTCCCTGAGAAAGTAATTGCATTCCAAATGAGTCAGGTGTGCAGGAGGATATCGCCAATGGAAGATCAGAGAAAGCGTGTTTTCAGATATTGTGCTTTCCTGGTGGCTCATGGTGATTTGAGGCTCAATAGCCTGCGTTAGATCTTCCAACTAAAAAGCTGAGGTCAGTGTTACAGAGTGAAACAGGAGGAACCGTGGACGGCTGTTCCTAGTTTATTTTCTGTCCATGCTGAAGTTCCTTACAAGCGGGACATTTCAGATGAAGCTGGCAGACTGGTCAGTAAGACACAGTGTTTGATGAGTCATTCTAAGGAAGAACTGGCAACAGCAGAAAAGGGTTCCTTGGATTTCATGTTCCTGTCACTGTAGTCCTGAGATTCGCCTTAATCTGCCACCCAAAGCCAGCTTCAATAACTCAGTATGCTTAATGCTTCTTTGTAGCAGATTGATGAATATTTAGCTATGCTGTTAACATTTGTCACTTTCAGGCACACCATTTTTTATACATTACATAACAGATGGACTGCCAAAGAGGATTCTACTTTTACCTTCACCTCTGACATCATCAGCTCTAATTCACAAATAATAAACTTTCCCTTTTTAACCTTACTGACCACTATTACTATGCTTTTTGTTTTGGTCACAGGGTGGGAGCTTTCCAGGTATCTTTACAAATGTGCATATTTATTTAAAGGGGGACACCAGTTGCACGCATGAGGGTTCATAAAGCCAAGGTGTGCAGAGACATGCAGAATGGTTTTATAAATCTAAATGTATTTTGCACACCATACATTTACTAAAGGTGTGCAAAATAATCGTCAAATCGATGCATCGTGATTCTAATTTTTGTGATCTACTGCATCGATTCTTGAAGGCAAGAATCGATTATAAAAAAAAAAAATGAACAAATAAAATACATTAATGGTTGGCGCACATCAGCCAAACCAAGTGGAATACAACTTCCAGTCCAGCAGATGTCGCTGTGGATGTGTTGACGCCCTCTGCTTTGTGTCACAAGCATGTCCGGCCGTGGGATACTGAGACTAGTCATTCGTAAACAAAATACGGAGGAGACTGAGAAAATTCGCTGCGCGGCTCCATCACATTTCAAGTCAGATGCTTGGATGCATTCTGGCTTTACAAAACAAGGAAGGTAAAAACGAAATTGATATGATGCACGTCATTTGCAAAAGGGGAAATAAACATTTGAATGTTTTCATTTCACTGGTTTAAAGGACCACTGAGGCCATGTAAACGGCACTGATTATCCTTATTTTGTTATTTTAAGTTTGATGAATCCTAAGATCTTTTTGTCAGTGTTTCCACACCAGTAATAGTAATATTTCTGTCCAGTATTTGTTTTCATGGCATGAATTCAGTTGCTTTCAGTTATGTATCAATTGAAGACACTATCCAGATCACACCCAGCCAGTCAGCCACTGGTAATGGCTGTATCCTTTTCTTACAGTGTTCAGAGAAAATATCGCAATGCATCGCGATGCATCGCAATATTTCAAGTATCGTGATGCATCGTGATAGAATCGCATCGTGGCATGTGAATCGTGATTCGAATTGAATCATGACTTCTTTGCCAATACCCACCCCTATTTTACTATAACATACCTAATGTATTTATAAAGCACTTTCAACACCCAACAGGACCAAAGTGTTATAATCATAAATACAAACAATCAATCATTAAAAAACAATAAATAAAGTGGTGTATAAAAGTAGAAACAAAATAAAAATCAAGAAAAAAAGAAACATGGTAAGACAATGTCAACATCTCAGATTGTGTTAAAAGCCAAGAAAAGGAAATAGATCTTAAGAAGATATTTAAAATCAGAAAGTGAAGAGGCCTGTCTAATGGCCAAGGGAAGGTCATTTAAAAGAAAAAGCACGCTCTCCTCTGAGCTTGGGTTTTGTCTTTGGCACCCTCAGTAACATTTGTTGGCCCTAATATGATAAACAAAATGATTATGGTATAATATAAAATAGGGCTGAAATAATTAATCAGATTAATCCTGATTAAACGAATATTGAATTAATCATTGACTAATTTAGTAATTGATTAATCATAAACTGGAGTGTAAGGACTCTTAAACATGTCTTTAGCTGACAGAGTGACCAAATTAAAGCAGTAATTCTACCAATATTGTAAAATAATATATAAACATTTTGCATTTAAGATAAAAAGAATTTTTCGTCTGTCAATATGCTCTATCCAGAAATCCTCATGTGGAAAAGTTTTAGTTTCACCTGGTTTGATTTCGTAAAAAGTCTTCTTTAAGGAACCTTTGGATATCTGATTATTCATCGATTAAAGGAAAAAAATAATCAATAGATTAAGTCTCCAATATTTCATCTTTTTCATGGAGATGTGTAGAATTTTTAACGAACAATTATAATTTTTAATAAACAACGCATAAAGACATTAAATGTACCACTGTACTAGGAAGACTGTCACATAAATAAAGGGAAAGTCTGAAATTCTTTTAGAAAAAGTCAAAAGCTAACTTTTTTAGAGGGTGTTTTTTCCAGTTCTAACAGGCCTTTTCTGCACCAAAAAGAACTAAAAACAAAAAATGTACTGAGCTACACTTACTGAGCCGAGTTTCTTGTTCTCCGAGTCGCAGCTTGAATTAAGGTATCATGTGCCGCTCCAACTGCATGTTGTCCTCCTCTGGTTAAGTTCTGTATTTCCTCCTCCACCACCGTCCCCATAGAGCTCTCCACATGCTGGCGGAGGTATCTGACAAACTCATAGCTGAAAGAACAAAATCCATTCGCCTTTGTAAATTTCAATAACATTCTATCATGGTTTAGAGATCATGACCCTAAAGTTATGACACAACCTGTTTGTGGCCTTACTTGTGGAAGTTCTTGTCAGTCTCCTCCAAACAGAGGAGGATCTCTTCAGCACTTTCAGGGGATGGTGCTCCAGAGATCTTGTCACTGATGCTTCTCAGAAGCTGCTTGAGGAGCGTTTGTAATTGCAACTCATCATCAGCAGACAGCTTTGACATTGTTGAACTGATGGATAAAAAGACAAATACTTGGGGGTTTATAGGATCCAAGTTTGTCAACAGTGGGAATAAGAAGATAAAACATGCAGTCATTGTTTAAACTAAATATCATTCCTCTAAGCATAACAACAGCTGTAAACAGTCTCTGAGGATAGACAAGGAGGTGTTTTTATTGCTGTTATAATGTGAGTTATAATGTTCTTCAATTCAGAAACATGAATGCAGTAAGACCTCAATTCACCACTGATAATCTGAAAGTCCATTGATTAGATACTGTTCAAAATAAAGAGAAGAGAAGGAGCTTATCCATTCATAGGCTAACCCAAAATGATTTGTTCCTCCGATGTGGACATAATTCACTACCATGCTGGTGCATCCAGCGGCAACAAGGAGAAAGGTGATCAGAAAATGGAGGTTGGGACGAACCGGTGAAAGAAGGAGAGGGCTCACATGTTGTTACATAGAGTTTTAGGACTTGCACTATCACAATGATCACAATTAGTAGGAAACTGTATGTTGAGTGTCCTGCGATCACACTCTGAAAATTAATGCTATTTTTGCTGGGTAAACATGCAAAGTTTGCTTATTATAGATATTGTGGAATTCATCATTTTTATTATATAGTAAAAACTAAAATTCTAAGTCCTGTAAATCACTTGGCATTTAAATTTTATCTATGCATCACAAATAAAACAAATAATTTCACCACTGTTTCAAATCTTTCTTTGTTTATAAGTACGTTAAGAAGCTTATGATGCAGGTCTTTTTGGTTGTAATGGCGGTGATGTCATGTACATTATTAATCGATCCATCCATTTTCCTTCACCCTTATCCCTAATGGGGTTGAGAGGGGTGCTGGTGCCTATTTCTAGCTGTACCAGACTATCGCAGGGTAACACAAAGACGAACAAGACAAACAACAATTCACACACACACTCATACCTGAGGAGAATTTAGAGAAGCCAATTAACCTAACAGGCATGTTTTTGGACTGTGGGAGGAAGCTGGAGTACCTAGAGAGAACCCACGTATGCACAGGTAGAACATGCAAACTCCATGCAGAAAGACCCCGGGCAGGGAATCAAACCCTGAACCTTCTTGCTGCAAGGCAGCAGTGCTACCCACTGCTCCAATGTGCAGCCCTTATATTATATATATTTCTTATTTTATTTTTATTGTAGATACAAACTAATTTACATTGTAAAAGCTGTTTCTGAAATGTTTTTTTTTTTTTCAATTAAACATTTTTCTTGTTAGTATCTTAAACATGAACGAACAAAAGTAATGAGCTGAATTATCCGATCCGGGAAAACAAAAAACTCCTCAACCTGATCAAGATGTATATTATGCAGTCATAACTAATTAATGTAGAAACCAAATATGGATTATTATGTGCCTTTATTCATTAGCAAGGACTTAATGAAATTTTTATCAGCCTTTTTTGACTTTCTTTCAGAAAATACAGACGTTGTACTTATCTATGTAGCATGATTGGTTTAGATTGACCCTGAACTGGCTCTGGCGCCTACTTTCTAGCTCAGCCACTGCTAAAGACAAAATGCTAAAGAGAACATGTCTAGCTTTCAAGGATAAATTAGACAAAATTCTGAAAAGGCTGAAATGGAAGGTTAAAAATATAGAAACCCACAAATGTTACAGAACAGCTCAAATCAAATGTCTCCATCCCAGTAACCAGCCATGGATTAACTTTTTACTCAAAAGGCTCTCTAACAGGTAGGATAGTCCTTTATATAAAGAAAAGTAAAGTATACATTTATTTGAACTGTGCAATATCTCCTTATTTTTTTCTTTTATAATTTATTCACTTTGTTTTATACTTTTGGGAAACCAACAATGGTATTAACAAGAGCAAAAAAAAAAAAGAATTAATAATCTAAATAAACTAAATAGTGTTTCAGTTGGATCATTTCATTTAATATTACATTATTGATAGAAAAAATGGGAATACTGATGATTTTAAATTTTGCTTCACTTCCATGTTTCTAATATCTTAAAATATAAAAAATAAATGTGCTTAAGAAAATCGATACATTAAATCTAATTTACTAAGTCCTCAAAACTGACCCAGAGCTGTCCCGGAGAGAAAACCATGCCCCTTAAAATTCCTTAATTAATTAAATGTAAAAAAAAATCTGGAAATAATAATGTTTCTTGAAAGAAAAAAAAACATTTATAAAAAGGCATCTTAAAGTAAACAGATAAATCATAACAAATAATTAATATACTTGAATGAATACATCTTGAAATAGATACATATATCTCTTAAGAAATAAAGAATGAAATCAATGAATAAATCTAAAAATATGCTAAAATGTTCTTCTTAAAAATGTATTTTGTTTATTTTAATAAAGACATCTATTTATTTTACTTTTTATTTATAAATAATTATAGCAGTACTTTTTTATATTTAACTGAATAAAAACTGTTTCCATATTATAGAAAGAAATAAGTTAACAAATGTAAGTAAAAGCGAAAGGAAATGGTTGATATATTTTAAGAAAACACATTTATGTTAATTAGCAAAAGTAAATAAAAGAACATATCTAAAAAAAAAAATAAACCGAATGTAAACATGAAATATTAATTACATATCATCAAATAATGTGACTATAGCTTTTACTTTTTTATATTTGTTGCATTTATTTTAGGTCATTCGTTTATTGCATTGAGACATTTATTCGGTTTTGTATATATTTATCTTCTTTTAGCCAATTCTGGACCCCCACCTCATCAGCACAGCAGGCGGACTAATTAATTAATCTGCAACAGGTGTGGAAACCTGCTTCCTTCTATAACATCTCACGCTATTAAATGGTCTACTAGCCCATAAATACTTTACGTTTGCTAATATTATCCTCTTAAAACTCGGAATTCTAGGGGCTATAGCTACAAAATCCAACCCTTCTTCACCTAAATGATGCTAAATGATGCTAACTGCTAGAACACAGCTAACTACGGGCAAATTATCTCCGTTTTGTCATAATAAGAGTTGAACACTGTAACCCCTTCAAGCAACAGAAAACTACTAAACCATATATAGGAAAGTCAAGTGAAAAATAAGGCACATTTACCTTTAAACGAGGCAACAATAACGCTTTAGCATCACTGGCCATGGAAAGCCGTGTCTCTATGGAAACGACTACTCCTGGTTTAGGAGGGGCATCATGTTATGTTAAGATACTGTTGGTAATTTCAAACTACATTTGAATTTAATAAACTTGAAGGCTTCTTTGATCAATATAGTTTACTTAAATACAACTATAGCTATATACTTAAAAAGCTTTCCCTAAAAATTGTATTCATATTTCACTTAATTAACTCGCTGCGTATTCGGACGCAATTTGGTGGCTTTTCTCCGGGAGATTTGAATGCACCAGGGATGACGCTTTACCGTCACGTGACCCAATGTTTTGTTTCTGAACCCGGATGACGTGCAGGAGACGTTTTACCTTTTACAGCGACCGTAAAAGCACAACTTTCATTTAAATTTACTCTTTAGGAAAACGGCTTTATATATATTTTTGTGTGTGCCTAATAGCTTAACATTTAACCGTCCCCTCGTTCACTTTTAAGCATTTAAAAGGTGTAAACATCACTAGCAGGGTGTTTAGCATGGCGGCTGTTGACAGCTTTCACCTTTTGTACAGAGACATTTCTCGGTCTTGCAGCTCTCACTTCGAGGCTCTGGCCTTGATCGGGGCTCTGTACACGGCCAGCAAAGCAGTTGTCCTGCTGAGAGACTGCTGCATGGTAGTTAGGGTCCATTTCCTGCCGAGGATGTTGCCCAGTCGTGGGAAGCTGACCCAAAGATATGGGGAATGGGCTGTTATTTATGGTAAGAAAATATTGCAATTGAAGTGGAACTGCTCACCGCTACACTCTTAAAAATGCAGTTTGCTATTTTTAGTCATTTGAAATTTAGTTGTAAACAGACATATTGAATATACTCCCTGAATTTGGTGGTAGTGCTAAAGCCTTATTTGAATCAGGTGACTAGTTCCAACATAGAGATTAGCAATGCATTGCTCCATCAACTTTACATGTGTGTAAAACTCTTGTTAAAATTAGGAACTTTATGTTCTTTTTAAAAAAAGACTTGATACTGATGATGATGTAATCACTTTTACAATGTTTTAAAGCAGGGGTATTCAACGTTTTCCAGGCCAAGGACCCCCAATTGTATGAAATTGTGTTCTATCAAACTGGTTCTATAGTCACTCTATTACAGATGGAGTCATGTAATGAAAGTAATTTCCCCCTGGGATTATTAAAGTGTTTCTGATTCCTGATTGATGCGACAGGTGTGAATGAAATGGTGCCCAGCTTGAAAGAGCTCCTGTGTGTCACTGAATGTGTGCATTGATGACTGAAACACATCTTCTGCCTCCATTTTTCTGTTAACTACAGTGTGTTGAATTCATGTTAATGTGGATTTAAAGACATTTCAATTAGTGGAAAGAATTGCATGGGGGAATATATAAAAAAAAAGTAATTAACCAAAACTTTCGCAACCCACATGCAGTACCTCCGTGGACCCCTTGTTGAAGACCTCCTTTTTAAAGAATCTTTAAGTAAAGTTTGATTTATGTTTCACCCAATGTTAAGTACAGCAGCTTTCAAACTAAACCCTACTTTAGGTGTGGCAAAATGTGTTAAAACTGCTCCCATTTTTGTAGCTTCCACATGAAGAAAAAAGTTTAAAAATCTCTAACTGTTCGGCATAGAATAATTCTGTCCACGTTTAATCGAGTCTATCAAAGTATTTCAGATATAATAATATGAATATGTATAATCAGTTCTTTAATATGTGAAAAGCCTTTTCTCCCTATAGTAGATGTAACTATATTATTTTGGTAGTGTTTGTTTAGGTGTATGACCAAATCTATCTTCTCCTAACAGGTGCATCTGAACCAGTAGCTCACGCATATGCAGAGCAGCTAGCTCAGAATGGCGTCAGCATCATCTTCATCACTGAAGACGGTTCCACTGTGAGAGACGCCGTTGCATTCCTTTCCCAAACTTATGGGGTGGAGACTTCCGTTGTCACTGCAAGTTTCTCTCTGGGCCAAGCACCGATCAAACCCTTATTAGAAGCTTTGAGCGGTAAAGATATTGGCTTCCTGGTGAACTGTGTGGAGGAAATATCGGCCTCACCCAAAAGCCTGTTAGAGATTCCTGAGCAGGGTGTGTTGGATCAGGTGAATAGAAACGTCACTGCTGCTACTCTGGTTGCCAGACTGGTGCTGCCAGGGATGGTGGAGCGCGGCAGAGGGGCTGTAGTTAATATATCTTCAGGGACCTGCTGCAGACCCCTACCTGGAAGAGTTCCACTCACGGCCTTTGCTGTAAGATAAAATTCTTTAAGGAATTAATTTTTGTGGAAAAATGGCAAAAAATAATCAAATGAGCCAGATTAGATACACAAAAAATATACTTTTAGGTTGAAGCTTCATATAAGCAACTAGTTAAGCTTGTCTTCACTTCTTTCTACAACATTTAATACTTGCACTAATTTCATTTTTTTCCACAATTGCAGGGGTATCTGGATCATTTCTCAAGAGCTCTTCGTTTTGAGTACAGCAACAAAGGAATCTTTGTTCAAAGTCTGATTCCTTTGCAGGTAATTAACTGTAGAGATCTCAGAGAGTTTCAGGTTCAAAGCATGTCACAAACATCATCAACTTTTCTTTAATTGATTAAACTGCACATTTAAACAAAAAGTCTTTTTGAGACACTAATTAGGAATTGAAGCATGAAACATAAAAGACATCGCAAATGTTTTTATTTTTTTTCTCTTGCACTTTCTAGCATATTATCTCTATCACTACTAGAAACTTTATTTAATTAATATCTGTTTCATTGTTTTTTGCAAAAAAAAAGTTTTGTTCAGATTTGCCTAAAGAACATCAATTTTCAATTGTTAAAACAATTTTGTGTGTTGTTTTAATAAAAAAAAAAAAGAAGCCGTTGTGCACAAATTAAGCAGATTTAGAGATCCCTGAAGTTGTTTTTTTGTCTTCTATTTGTATTTCAGATAGCTTCAAGCAGAGATCAGTCATCTTCTTCAAGAGAAGGATTGTTTGCTCCAAGTCCGGGGATCTATGCTCGACACGCTATTTCCACCCTGGGGGTCTCCAACAGAACCACAGGCTACTGGCCTCATACACTTCAGGTCAGCAACATGTTTCTAAGTGAATTTTTATTCCTTATGTTTGAGGCATCTTATAGTTGAAATAAAATCAATGAAAAACTGTTTCTTTGTTTTTTCTAACAGTATGGACTAATGAGATGTATTCCTGAGTGGATTTGGATTCTGGCGTCTCGGATGTTCCTCATCTGAAGCTAAAACCTGAAAAAGACTCTTACTGGATCTCGTTACACAAGAATGTTGTTCGACATTCTTCTGACAGTATTTATTTATAATAAACCCCAACATTCTAAAGTTGGTGTATGAAATTGTTCTAAATTGATGAAGAAATCTACCATTAAAATGAATGAGTTTAAAACAATGAGTGTGAAGCACAGGTTACAATTTAGTTTAAATCTTGGTAGATATGAATGTAAAGTTTTGTCTATTGAAAGACGGAACCAACAGCACTACAGTTTTCTTTGACAAAAATAATAGGTACTCGGTACATCAGGTAAACTGATGTTTTCTATTTTCTTTCTTTGTGCTTAAAAACGTATCAAGAAGATTTTGCAGAATTGCTTGGTTGCTTTCTGTTTTTTACAGCCTAGCTGCGTTCTAGTTTTAGGCTTTTAAATGAGGAAAAATAAAAAGTCGTTATGGATTAGTGCAGACATTCCTACAGAGGTCAGGGGTCAGGCTTTGAATACCTGCCCTGTCAGGGAAGGAAGGAACAAGGAATAAAGTCTGTAAATAACTATATTTTATTACTTTTTTTCCATTATCCACCAAACTTGGAAACATACTAGCAGTAAATTCCAAACTTTTTCGGAGTCTACAGAGAGATAAAATGCATTATGAAACAAAGCTACATAAATGTTTTCATTAGAGCGTAAAGCCAACAATGGAAGAAAAAAAAAAGCTTCAAATTATTCCTAAAGTTTCCTTTGGCTATAAATGTAAGCGCCATCTTGCACTGTTGTGTCTTCATCTTATCAGTCCCTCTTACGTTGGCAGAGACGGAGGGTGTTGCACTTTATCAAAATCACAGAGAAGTGTGACGACCAAAAGTGAAGCTTTTATTGTCGAAACTGGTGCTGTGAGCTTCAAGCAACTCCTAAAGTATGATTTAAAAAAAATAAGTTCTACAATATATGTATATTTTGAATTTTATGAGGTCGAATTTTGAACAGTTTGGGTTTGATTTGTGAAACTGTGTGATTATAACTCAGGAGGTGACCAATAAAGCTTTTTCCATTCACGCATCTGATTTCTTGTTACGTCTTTCATCTTAATGCATAAAAAAAACAGTCTCAGGAATTTCAGAAACTATTTTTCTATATCCTGTCTTTGCTTTCAGCATATTTCTTTAAAGATTTTATCTGATCAATAAAAGGTCGGTCAGATTAATGCACCTTTTCCTCTGTTCAAAGCAGCAGGTGCAGGTCAATGATTCACGTCTAGAAAGCAGAGTTCAGAGTTTTGCAACCAGTCAGTCTCGACGGAGGCCGTTTCCAAACCTCATAAACAAACCTGAAGTGCACATAAACAAGCTACTCTACACTCACCTGCATGTCAATCTTTCAAATATTAAAGATATGCCTGGAGACAAAAAAAAGCTGCTGTATTAGTCTGCAAGGCAAATTGTTTTGAAACTAAAGAAATACAGCAAGTTCATTTTTAATTGAACATCCAAATTTTTGTCTTAATCCAAATATTGACAAAAACAATACTGCGTGCCTTATTAGTAGGACCAACAGCATACTGCTACAACTATAGGTTAAAAGCTCAAAAATAAATATTTATCTTACTTTTAAATGTCATCAGTTTATTTGTGCATGACAACTTTTCAGGTGTTTTTATTTGCCATATTAACTGTTTGCCTCACCCCCCCTTTCTAATATATTTACTGATTTCCTTTTGCTTTTCAGTTCTAGATAAATTCACTTTCTTCATTCATAGTCAAACGTAGTGGCGGTAGCATCATGCTGAGAGAAATTTTTTTTTTTCTGAAGGAGAGACAAGCTAATGAGTTGGCAAAGAAAAGATTAATTAAATACAGGATGTTTTGAATGAAAACATGTTAGAAGCTGCTAATGAGCTAAGATTGGGGCTGAGGTTCATCTTCTTGCGGGTCAGGGACTCTAAACACATCGAGGGCTTTTGAGGAATGGTTTCAATCCATCCATCCATTCATTTACTGACACGCTTATCTCTCCTGGGGTTGTGAAGGGTGCTGGTGCCTATCTCCAGACAGGTCGCCTGTCTATCACAGGGCAACACAGAGACAAACAGGACAAACAGGTATTCAATTAACCTAACAGTCATGTTTTTTGTTTTTTTTTCGGACTGTGGGATGAAGCTGGAGTACCCAGAGAGAATCAAGCATGCACAGGGAGTATGCAAACTCCAGCAACTGAACCCAGAACCTTCTTGCTGCAAGTCAGCTGCGCCACTGTGCAGCCCATGGTTTAGATCAAAGTATATATATTTCCTAGAATCATCCAAAATCCAAGCATAAATCCAATCAAATTTCAGTTGGAAGTCTAAAAAAAAAACAAAATTTTGCAATTACTTGCCATCCTATCTGACTGAGTATATCAAAAAATAAGAAGTGTAAATATTTCTGTAGGCTTGCAAAGCTGGTACAATCATAGCCCCTAAGACTGTTAAATCAGCAAAAGGTGGGGCGTGCAGGTGGCGCAGTGGTTAGTGTGCACAACCAATGTACAGAGGCCTTAGCCCTCAAGGCGGTCGACGCGGGTTGGAATCTGACTTGTGGTCCTTTGCCGCATGTTTCTCCCCCTCTCTCATACCCCCTTTCCTATCAGCCTACTGTCCAAAAAATGAGCCACTAGTGCTATAAAATCAGCAAAAGGTGGTTCTATAAACTGTTTATTGGGACTAAATGCAAAAGCCCATCAGATTTAAAATCCATATTTCACGTTATTATTTATATCCACAAATTTATGTTTGTCTTTCTGTTTAAAACACACTGATGTAAAATAATTTGAATATACTTATGGGATACAAAAAGTTTTGCAAGACAAAAACTCTTATAAATGTGAATAAATGAACAGAAAAAAAACACATTTGGTTAAATCTGCTAGTTTTCTCTGTTATCAACCACTCGTATTCAGCATTTGCACATAAGCCTCTTTGTTTTGGTTAGGACAGCGTCCTTCCAGATAAGCCAGAGAATTGACCATGAAGCACAGTTTCTTCCTCAGTCTCTCGTCTCATCCTTTACAGGAGCTGTCGTTCTTTTCATCCAAAATTTCCTCAATTTTTATATTTTTTTTCCCAACAGGTGAGTTTCCTTTTCCCAATCCCGAATCCTAAATTACTTAGTTTGTTTTTTGATGTCTGTATCCTAAGGCTTTTGCATGAACTTCTAAGGCTATAAATAGATTTGTATTTGTATTGATGTGTGAGTATAACACAACAGTTTAAAATGTTATTTGATTTAATATGAACTCTTAAATGTACAGAGATTTAGAAGAATATTTAATGAAAGGAAAAATATTACTAACAAGTTTGTTGTTGAAGATTTGTTATAGGTTTGAGTGTGCTTTGAGTGTCCTTTTGATAAGTGTGTTTAGAAGACTTGAAATCTGCAGCTGTGGATTTATCTGCATAGTCACAAGGCAGTATGAAACGATACACGCTTGGCCTTCTGAAACACTCAGCCTGTTCTGACTTTTTACCTACCTAAAACAAATCCAACGAGACTTAAAAAAGGAGATATAACATCACCAACCAGGTGCACATCTTTAAATTAAGTCTTTTCCATAATTTATTGCGTTTGGTTTTGCATTAATTTAAAATCATGATTATATTTACCTTGAAACAAATCCTGTCACACCTTGCAGCAAGACAGCCCTGGGTTCAAATCCCAATCCGACTCTTTCTCTTGATTCTTTTCAGGTATTCCTCCCTCCTACCCTTTACCAAAAATCCTGACTTTTAGCTTCAATGGCCACTCTATGATGCTTTAAAATTGTGTGGAAATGCATGCTTGTTTTATGCGTTTCCCTGTGATGGACTGGCACCCTGTCTGCAATGTGCCCTGCCTTATTCTCCAATAGACCACTGGAGATAGGCAGCAGCCCCCTGCAGCTCTAAAAAGATAACCATTGTATCAAACTTCAGTCTTTTAAGGGCCAATTCTTTCAGATTTTAGAATATAATCAAATAGATATATCCTCTCCTCAGTATGCTTCAATGCAGAGTAAAGCTAATGGCCAAGTTCTTTAAATAATGTGTGCTTTAAGGATGGTTGTCTCTATGTCTGTTTTAAAACATTTTGTCTGATATAGAAAAAACAAGGATAACTGACGTTTGAAATGGGAGAATGGGACCTACTGGGGCGACTCCTGGAAAAAGTGCAAAGTCACTCCACAGTGATCGGAAAGGTCTGGCTCACCGTTCTGTTTGTTTTCCGGATCATGGTCCTGCAAACCGGCGCTGAAAAGGTCTGTACGGTCCCCCAGAGATGTATGGGGAATGAAAGTAGCTGATTCTAGACAGAGAAGATCTAAAAACAATGAGAAAATGTGTTTGATTTGTGAAGCTTGAGTAATCTAGGGTCATCTAGGTTTCCTCTCCCACATCTACTTCCTTACCCAGGTATGGGGGGATGAACAGTCTGACTTCATCTGTAACACTCAGCAGCCGGGCTGTGAGAACGTCTGCTACGACCTCGCCTTCCCCATCTCTCACGTCCGCTTCTGGGTTCTTCAGGTCATCGCCTTGGCAACGCCACAGCTGCTGTACCTCGGCCATGTCCTTCATGTGATTCATGTGGAGAAGAAGGTGAGCTCCTCCACGCAAATTCCACAGCATCCTTATGAAGAAGAAGAGGTTGTTGAGTTATTCTTTAACCATCAGTGTCATTTAATTAATTTTGCTTAAACAGCAGAAATCACATCAAAGTTTGGCGCAAGTTTGGTCAAACTTTTATTTAAATCAATAAAATTCACACCACTACACTCCAATTACTCACATCTTATAAAAAACAGAGCATTAAATGTAGCTATCTATCTGAAGACCATCAGTTGGTTGTATCATTTCATTGACTTGCAAAAAAAAGCAAATTCTGCAAAGCAAAGTGGTGACAGTGGAGAGGAACAACTCTCTACAAACCTGGGGTTGAGATAAACCAAGAAACACTTGTCTCAGAAAAATTTCTGTTGGGAAAAAAAACTTTCGACAAAGAGGCTCAGATAAGAACTAAGCAAAAGCAATAGTATTCCTTCTATACCAAGAGAACAAAACGAAGTATACAAAGTTAATGAAAACTGTCATCTAGGAAAAACACACGTCTAAATAGAGAATCACAGCCCAGGTCCACTTTTAATACATACAAGTGTTAATAAGAGAGATTTACTTAAATAATGTCAGAAAACTTGGAAGGAGACACAGCTTAACTTAAGAGCACTATAGTGTTCAACAACACCTATGGTGGTTTCAATGAGCAAGAAAAATAAAGGTGAAGAGTAAATACAGATGGCAAGCAGGTTCGTGGAATAAGTCAGGCAGACTGAGCCTAGAGAAGCTACAGAAATGCAGTAGAAAACAAAATACTTACTATAAAATGTTTAAATCCTGTGCTCTATCATCTATCTATCTATCTATCTATCTATCTATCTATCTATCTATCTATCTATCTATCTATCTATCTATCTATCTATCTATCTATCTATCTATATTAAGCTAAATTAATGTATTTATTTTAACAACTTACTACTGCTACTAATTTTATCAAAATGTCCCAAAAATACTGAAGTCTTATCTTAAAATGTAATTTTGGTATAACAACTAGTGTTTTGTAAGGATCATCAGCTGAATGTCTTTATACTTCAGTTGCACCACATCTTCACATTTGATCGTATGTGATCATACACAGGGGGCATATCCAGCGGACTAGTGAATAGTAGCCTC